ACATTAGGGAAGAAAAGCTCCCTACAAACTCATGCACCATTCCTATTTGCACTAATTCTAAAAGTTTCCTTTGGGCCATGTACTCCACATTCTTAGGAAATAATTGGTGTTTTGGCTCTTGCTTAAGATCCATCTAAGTTTTAGTCAAACATTCATCATTCACAAATTTTAAATGCCATCACAGTTTGGCATTCCCAACAAGGTACATTGAAGCCATTGCAACTTTATCCTCCTTTGATTCTGTGTGTATAGCTTGAAAGTATTGTTTTATATCAAACAAAAAATTCTCAAGCTCTTTGGCATCTCTTGCCCCTCATAACGTCGGGGCTTCGGCACCTTGGCCATTTTTTTTTATCCATTGAGCTAGAACTTAACCTAGCTATAGCCATTTGCAACACACTAACTTAGGCCTTGAGCTATTCAAACTCTCTTTAGAGGACGCTTATGGCATCTTTTATCTCATCACCCAAACTATTTAGAGTATCGGACAGCTTCTGCTGGGCTATCTTGATCTTTTTCAGTCGATCATAGGTTACCACATGAGCTTTTAAGGCTCCTCCTCTGTTAGTCATTAAATCCACCACTCATAACCATTTTATCAATTTTCTAGCACTTTTCAACCATGCTTGAAACCACGTGCCATGGGCTAAGTTTTCTCTTAATAAAGCAATAAATTGTGTGGTATTTGGATGGACGCTTCCAAATAAATCAACCAAATATTGCTTGATATCTGAATAGGCAACTACTAAGCTACAAGTTAATCTCAAGAATGCACAATGATATATCGGGGCATAATGGGAGCACACCAAAGTGACCCCCATTGTTCTCGAAAGAAAAAAATGCTTTATTTATATCGAGAATAGTATAACAAGTACAAAATGAGTATCAAGTTTTTTCATCATGGTCTGGGCCAAAAGAGCAGCCTTAGATATATGGTCTAGCATGTACCTTAATCAATGAGGCAACCCAACAACATGCCAATTGCTCATCCCCATAAAGAGCTTAAGAGATATTATAACTATACTATCAAGAACTATTATAATGTTTGAAATAGAGATTTTTTTTTCTAGCACAGAGATCTAATATCCTCCTTGCATTTCTATCCGATCATAGTCCTTTATATAAAGATGGCTCATGATACCCTATATTCAATTATGGCTATATACAAAATTGGCTCATGACAAATAATCTATTTGGCCAAGGGCTGTCTTGTCTAGACTAGGTTGAAGCAATAATGAACCTTTTAAATTAACAATTTTTTTAAATATAAATTATAAATAACTTGGTAGCTTCAATAAACTTTGTACTTAAAAACTTTTACTATGTATTAACAGTAATATATTTATTCGATTTCCATTAATGATTTATACAATTAAAAACCATCCGACATAAAATCGTGAATTGTATTAGATCTATTAAAGGTCAAGTTATCGATCTTATAAAATACTAAACTGTTAAAACTTATTTGGAGAAATATATAAGAATCATTTAAAAAATAGTCGGATCTTAACTCCAACATTTAAGATTTGAGTTGACTCAATTCAATTATTATATAATATAGATATACTATTTTTTTATTTATTAACGTTATATAATATATATTATATAAAAATAAATATATAATATTATAGTATAAGTAATAGAAAATATGCTTTCTAAGTTTCAAAATTTGATAAAAATTTGAAAAATAAATTAAAAAGACCATATCTTTATATTTTATCATTTTTTAAGAAAATAACTTATAAGAAAGTTTGGATGTGTTTAAACTGTACCATTTATAAAATAAGCGGACTTGGACAAAGTGTTGATACCATGTTTTAACCAAGTACACTTCTAGGTTGCCCACTAGTTTAAAATATAAAAATATAAAATATAGATTTTTTAATTATAGGATGGAGATCAATATAACATTTTTAATATTAGGCTTTGTACCGAGAGCGAAGGACCCAATCAATGGACCAATCTTACATGACGGATCTGCTGTCCTGGCTTACGGACCGCCCACATAAACAATGCTCCAACCCAGTTCTCGGTAGGAATTAACAAATTATTTGATGAATAAGCCGAAAACATGCGTAATAAAAGTCCAACAACACTAGAAAGGGAGAAAATGACGACAATCTACTTGGTTTCATTGATAACAAGAAAAGCAGACTAATATTTTTTGATGGTTCAAGTGTATTTCTATCCAACACAATGTCTTACGATAATCAGAACAAAATCATTTCACCAGAAAGCCAGCGCTTAAACAACCTACCATGTCTCTTCACTTTTTTTCCTTGCGTGACCCCTTTAGGCCGGCCTTTGTTTTTACCCACTCTTTCAATGAAGCAGAGCTTCTCATAAGTATGAGTTTCACTTATGCTAGTATCTACACCAAAACCTTTGTTTTTCTCAATTGCTGGGAGGGAAGTATCTTTGTTGCCCTCAACAGTTTGATGAGTGCTTTCTGCAATACTCTGAACAGAGTTTCCTTCCTTTCTGACGCCTAATTCTGTAGAACCATCTACTTTAGGTCCACTCTTATACAGCTTCGTCATATTGCTATGGTTTCGATTAGTGGAGTGCACCACATCCTCACAATTGGGCTTTGTAAGCTCCTGCATTGTAGTAGTGCCTGGCAAAATTTCTAAGATACTGAAAGAATTGCTGTCACTTACCAATTGCATCCATGAAGACTTGTGGAGCCATGTAGAACCTCTTCCTGAATTACTTGAAGATGTGCTAGGTTGGTGAGGCTGAGCTTCTGCAAGTACATTCACTATTTCCGTTTTGCCTGACAAGCCTTCCAAGTTCTTAGATGTTGCCAACTTCTCATCCCTGTAATCAAGAGTGTTGTCCGCTTTGGGACCATCAGGAATGGATCATTTTTCCTTGTTAGTATCAACATTTTGCGAAATATTGGTGAGACAGAATACACTATTGCTTTTATCTCCAACTGGTGCCCTCCATGAAGACTTTTGAGACCATGAACAACTAGAATTCGACTGTTTGAGACTACATTCTTGAGCACTGGTTTAAGCAATAAAAAAGGGTCGATTTGATTGGGTTTGAAAATTTTCCCTTTCTGCATGTATAGTGGAGACAACTTCATTTCGGTCATTTTCTTCAGCAAGCAATGATTTCATCTTCCTTTTAGGAAGTAAAAGATCTTTTTCCTCTTCCTGCTCATTCCGCGTTGATTCATATTCAGAAGTTTGTGTCCTGCTGGATTTAAACTTCTAGGTGTCATGACAGAAACATAGAGAAATTAGGACCAGATAATATGCAGATATGTAGTGCTAGTAGAATATAAGGAAAAAAAAAAAAAAACTCTGCACCAATTGAATGAGAGGGTGCACCTTTTTTTATGATACCTAAGCAAGCTTTGTGCTTCCCGACAGAGCCATTCTTTTGTTTTCCATGGACACCACATTAATAATGAGGTTGTCTTCATCAGCTTCAAAATCTGCTTCATTCTCATCTGACTCTGAATTCCTTCCCTGACCAGGTGAAAAGGAAACAACTTCATGTTTATCTTCTTTATTAGGAAGTAGCTTCCTCTTCTTTGTTGGATGCAAATTGTTTTTCTTTCTGCACTTTTCGTGAACTCTGAATTGCTCCATCATTCGAAATTCGGGTTTCAACAAGTCTATTTTCTGGGTGTTGAACACAGCAAGAGAAAGAAATTAAGTACATGTATAACAAAAATTAAGAGACCCTGAAAAACAAAGAGCTACATGGTGATTGAACATGAAATTGCACCTCGGTGGAGATTTTTTTCTGCTTCCTGCTCCCAGACATAGCTTCTCGATTATTTGCATTAGAAACAACATTAATTATTAGGTCACCGTCATCTTCCCCTTCCTCATCAGACAGTGAATCTTCAAATGGTTTGATGAAATCATCTTTTTCCTTTGCTAGGATAGCCCTGCTAGTGTTGGAAACATTTCCCCTCTAAAAGAGCTTGTTAATTACTGAGTTCATCATACTAAGCTCTTCGTTATCCATGGCACTGTTTATTTCTTCGTGATGTTGAACTTCTTTTTGTTTCATAGCATTAAAATGACCAGAATGCTCTTCACAATCACAAAAATGTATAGGGAAGGCGGGGTTTTAACACGTTGGAAACTGTGTCATGCTTCCCAGTCCCACTAAATGGCAACGGTTTCACCTGTACAACATATAGTCGTTCATGATTTGGATGTGGTTTCAGCTGAAGTTGACAATACCAAATATATAAAACCGACTAATCCTGGTCAGCTAAATACACATACAACAGATTTCGGAAAGCAATTCGTAGTAGAAGGCTGAAATTTTTGGAATTAGATAAAAAAAAAGTTTAGTTGTCAAAAAATATAAATTAAATGAACCAGAGGGCTGACCTTTGATAATCTAGGAAGGAAAATTCGAAGATGGTTGTCTTGGGAAACGTGAATCTTGTTTTTGTTGCTGTGATTATCTGATGGGTGGATGGCGTGTTTCTGTTTCTGCTTCTGCTTCGGCCCATTCCCGTTTCAAGCAGGTAAGAAACTGCCTTTTCCACCTTCAGCTTACCTCCTTTCCACAAGTACCTATTATACTGTATGATTGCAAAAATAAACAAACTATAAATTAAAGGCGGTAAGAAAAGAAGAGCAGCCTTAACATTCAATTTACAAAGATTTCCTACCGTGCTGAAGAGCTTGGAGAGAGAGTTGGAGGAAGCTACGGCATTTGGTCCTAATGATGTCCAATCCTTTCACCTTTCCCACGGCCGAGAAAACCTTCGGAAGACCATCGCTGCTAACGCTCTGCCCCAAACTCCCTACATGTATTGCTGTTGTGGCTGTGGTTGCCATCTCCTTCTCTTTCCCAGTTCCCCTACCAGGCTACTATTACACTCAATATGAATGCAATGAAACTGCTTTTTGGGTATATCTGGGCTGCTGGGAGGGCCTCAACCTCAAATTTAGAAGTTGGGCTTAGTTATAAATATTGTTGATCCATTAAAGCGAACCCAACAGCAAGAAACTCGCTCAAACCTTTATGGTTTCGGGCTTTCGGCTCTTTCGAGTTTTGGGTTCTGCAAATCGCAATAAACGGGAGAGAGGCGCAAGGATTTTGCTCGTACTTTCAACTCCCAGTTCTGGTCATTCTCATAATATTAACACATTCAAATGCATTACAAGAAAGAGCCTTGCAGAAACTTTCAGCGTGGCAGGTACTTCATCATCTTATTCTTCTCCTTATGATATTATTATATAATTAAGCTGATTTGTCCAATATATTTCATAAAAAGAGGTTTTTTATTTTTATTTTTTGTGTCAAATTACATGCTGTTGATGGTTTCCTCGTAATAGCATATTGATCCTTAATTAGAACAAGATCTCTCTAGGAGAATATAGAATCAGTTCCCCATAAATCTTCGTTTAAACAGAACAACAAACAGTATTTCAGGTTTTAAGGGATAAACTTGATTTTGAATGGTATCCATAGGTTTAGTTTCAAATTCAGAAACTATTGCTTCAACAAAAGAACGAATAGAGCTTAAAGATGCTCAAAAATAAAAGAGAAAAAAGTGGGTTTCCTGGGAAATAAATGCATACTGGCAAATTTGATTAACCTCCACAATACTTCTTTTGGGTTTTTTTTTTTTCTTTTTGATAGTTATGTTCATAAATCGAAAATATGTCTCAAGCAAACAAACTTCAACAACCATCACATTCAATATAAGAACTAATTAAGAGACTAAGCAAATTAACAAACTAAAATAAACTTTGACCTAATCCACATGTGGTAGGACTCAAACCTTTAAAAGGTTCCCATTTTAGTATTTTTTGCAGGCAAAGCTTGAAGCTAAATTTTTGCAACCTATCAGACTAAGTGAAGTAAAGGACAAAAGTTGGGTCATATAGAGCACAAGGAAATGAGTGATATGATGGAACTCTAAACATTTACTCTCATATATCATTGCTGCTATTATCTTTCTCATGCACAATTTTTCCTTAACATCAATGCAAATTTTGGCATCTTAAAAGACTCCCAATACACTTCTCAATTCCATACATCTTGCTCAGATGCATGGGTGACATCTCTTCTGAGACTCTCATCCATTTGAAAGACTGAACCAAGACATTGAAAATGCTGACTTATATAATTCTTTACACAAGTAACTGCTCTATCATACATGTCTTTATATATTAATTTAATAGTTTAAACTCCTTTCTTTTCCGAGATCCTCCGCTAGATTGCTCTAGTGGCTATCATAATTTTTTTTCTATATTAATTGATATAATGCACATCTCTCTTGTTATTGTGTGATTTCCCTATAAAACCTAACATAGAATCAGATTGTTCTTGGAAACATTATTCTCATCATTTAATCTTTGTTTGACCACCTTTCTCCAATAATTTTATCATATGGCTATTCAACTTAATATCTGTATAACTGGCGCAATTTTGTATCTCCGCTTTGTTCTTGTACAGGGGTATTAACGTGCTCATTCTTTGCTCATCTGATATCTTTTTGGTTCTTAGAACCTTATAGAACAAGTTTGTATGCCAGTATCTCCTTCTTCTTGCATTCACTTCCACACTTCAGTAAGGATGTCACATGGTCCAATTGTTTTACTACTCATCCTTTTCAAAGCTTCCTTTACTTTTTTTTGTTCTTTTTTTGGAACATGCTGATAAAAAGTTAACTTGTATTTTTTTAATGAATAATTAAGCTCCCCAATGTCGTAACACCCAATTTCTCATTGAACAACTTATTGAAAACTACTTGTCCATCGGTCCTTAATAGCTTTCTAAAGTTAAAAGCGCTTTCTTATTCTCATTTTTAATGCACTTTGTTTTGTTTGAGTTCCTTGTCCTCTCTTATCTCATTTTGGCAAGTTTGCACATATCTCTTTGTTCTTTGCTGTCCAACCATTTATAGAAATTGGGGGTTTAAATGAATCAAATAAACCTAAGCTTACCTTCCTCAAACTTGGCTTTGCTAAATTTAGATGATCTTGAACAATAACTGAGCACAAATTAAGCTTAAGAAGCCTTTTTCAAAGTTGGCTCAGACCAGCATTGAATCAACTTAAATTATTAAACAACTTTTTTTCTTGAACCAAAATGTTTCAAGGACTTGACTACACTAGAAGTTTTCTTGTCTTTTCCCCAATGTTGTTAAGGTGTGCGCTTAGGCACGCATGACAAAAAAAGTGTCTCAAACATTTTTGGGCATGGTACATTTGATTAAGCATATGTCTAGTGTGCCTAGGCATGCTTTTTGTAAGGCAGTAGGTGCGAAGAAAGCTCGCCTCATTAATTTCTCTTTAATTTATTTATTTTTTATTTTTTTATTAACTGTGCCTTTAATAGTAAAAGAAAAAAAAAATGGGGAGAATATCAAAATCTCTACTTCTCAATGTTTGAGTATTCAACAACATGTGTGGGACCATATGAAATAATGCATATGGACCAACAAAAAACATTTGCATGTTTTATACGATAAAATGACTACTCTTTAGAGTTTATTATCATATTAATATACAATAAAAACAACAAACTGAGTCTTATATCCCATAATTCTGGGGTCGGCTGTATAAAAGACTAAAAAAAAAAAAAATCATGTTAGGTTGTAGTTTTGAATCTTTTTGTGTCACTCATTTCTATAAAAAACAATGTTTTCATTTACTTTCTTAACTCTCATATAATTTCTTATTACTTGCATGCACGTCTTTCGTGGTCTACCTCTAGAAGTTTTGGTCTTTTTCAAATCCAAAAGCTCATTTCTCCTAACTGGTGCACATATAGGTATATATTTCACATATCCAAACCATCTCAAACAGCCTTCTCTATCTTTTTCTCAATTTGGATTATCTCTATTTTTTTTTTTTCAAATCTCTTCATTTTTTTATTGTCTTTTCTAGTTTTACCACACACCCATTTAAGCATCATTATCTCAACTATGCTTATTTTCTTCTCATTTTGTTTCTTAACGCCCTAACACTCAATCTCGTATAACAATGCAAGCTTTACAATTTATTTAAACAACTTCACCTTTAACTTTAAAAACATTTTGCGATCACATAACACACCCGAAACACTTCGCCACCTCACCTACTTGTTTGAATGCTATGATTTACATCCCTTTTTATCTCATCATTGCTCTGAATAATTGATTCCAACTACCTCACCATTCAACTTAATCACGATAGCACTTGCTTCTATGACTACTAAACTTACATTCCATATATTCAATTTTAGGTCTATGCAATTTAAAGTCTCGAGACTCTAGCACATTCCTCCATAATTCTAATTTCACATTAAGATCATCACTGGTTTCTGTAGCTAAGACTATATCATCAGCAAATAACATACACCACAATACGTTGTCTTGGATACGTGCAGTGAGCTCATCCATAACTAATGCAAAAAGAAATGGATTTCATGTTGAGCCTTGATGCAATCCTGAGGTAATGGGAAAGCTATCAGTCAAGCCCCCAAATGTTCTCACATTCGTTATAACTCCTTCATACATATCTTTAACTATGTTAATGTGCTTTAAGGGAACTTCTTCATTAGGACCCACCAAAGCACCTTTTGGGAAACTCTATCGTATGCTTTCTTCAAATTGATAAATACCATATGTAGATCTTTCTTACTTGCCCGAAAAGCTCTCAACAAAAGCCTCAATAAGTGAATTGCCTCTGTTGTGGAGTGTCTTGGCATAAACCCAAATTGGTTTTCGAAAATAGTGACTTTCTGTCCCAGCCTCCATTCAATTATTCTTTCCTAAAGTTTCATAGTATGACTCATAAGTTTTATTCATCGATAGTTCGAACAATTTTGTAAATCACTTTTATTTTTGTATAAAAGCACTAGAGTACTCTTCCTCTATTCTTTTGACATTTTTTAAGTATACCAAATTTTATTGAAAAAATCCCTCAATCATTCTATCCCTATTTCACCCTAGAAATTCGAAATTTCAATCGAGATTACTTCTTGTCTTACAACTTTCTTTGCTTTCATCTTTCTCAACATATCTTTTAATATTACGCTTAAACACATAATTTATATCCTTAAAAGTTATGTTAAGCTCACCTATATCATGTTCAAAATTGCCATTAAAGAGATTATCAAAACAATCTCTCTATCGCTTCTTAATCTCCTCATCTTTCACTAAAACTTTTTCTTCACTACCTTTGATGCATCTTACATCATTAATATCCTTACTTTTCTTATCCCTCATCTTAGCAATTTTGAACAACTTTTTTTCTCCATCTCTTATCTCTTATTTTCTATTTAATTCCTAATGGATCCCAATCTTTGAATCTTGAATAATCTTTTTGGCTTCCTTTTTTGCTGTATCCTATTTCTAAGATGACATATCCTCTTTCATCCCCAGGGGTGAAAGATATTTAGAATTAGCAGTTTATGTTTTATTACCACCCTCTTACTCAGTATAACCTTGCAATTCTTATAGCTACTTCTATTCTCTTTCCTTGTAGAAAAGAAATCAATTTGACTAGTGTTTGACCCACTCCTAAAAGTCACCAAATGTGATTCGCTTTTTGTAGAACACATGTTTAATATAGTTAGGTCAAATGCAGTAGCAAACTCTAGAATATAATCCTTGATATCGTTTCTTTCTCCAAAGTCATTTCCTCCATGCACCCTTTTAAAGTTATTATAATCCTTGTCTACGTGACCATTCATGTCTCCTCCAATAAACAACTTTTTCCATTTGGTGTGGCTTGTACTACCTCGTCTAAATCTTCCCAAAACTTTTGCTTACTTGCTTGATCCAACCCTATTTGCGAGGCGTAAGCACTAATGACATTAACAATTTCCTCTCTTAATATAAGTTTAATATGTAAATTCTATCTCTTTTTGTTTTAACCTCAACCACATCATCATTCAAATTCTTATCTATAATTATGCCCACTTCATTTTTACTTCTTTTCTTACATGTTACTAAAGCTTAGAGCCCCATGTTTCTGCCTCTTTAGTCTTTTCCACTACCCACTTGGTGGAGACACGTAATATTAATTCCTCTCCTAGTCATGACCTCTCCTATCTCTACTAGCTTATTAGTTAACGATCCTATATTCCAAGTAGCTAAGCGTAACTTACCCATATGACCTAGCTTCTTTACTCGTGTTCGTCCATTAAAAGACAAGAAACCTTGCCTATTTGGCACGACACATGAGTAGCGATGTGGCACATCACTTTGGGGCAAGAACCTGCAAACCCTTGCCCATTTAACACTGTACCTAGGGTCCAATGTAGCGCGTTGTTAGGAGACGATGAGCCAACGAAAATTCTTATTGTGGTCCCTCATCATGGTTTGATTATGTTTTACGTTGGCTGTCATCCTATTGCAACCCTCCTCGCTTTATCCACACTTGAAACCAGTAGTTATTATCAGATTTATATAGCTTACGCTTATTTCATATATACACACATGCAGACAAAAGTACATACATATAAATTTTGAGCCTTACTTCACTTAGGTGAGCCAATTTTGTGCCCCTTGTACGTCAAGTAGTTTAAGCATTCTAGCGCCTAGAGTGAACCTTGCGCCTTGACAACATTGTTTTTTCCATGTTTCAAAACTTTTAATGTGTTCATTTTTATTCACATAAAAATATATTTGAAACAATTTTTTTTAATTTTGTCAATGAATTTTAGTCTATGTTATACCTACTTTTCAATGATATAGACATTAAATCATGATTTGAGTTGTATAGAAAGATATTAGAGCTAAAACCAATCAACTTGATAATGATAAAACAAGCTCCTCATGAGCTTTTCTAACAAGCTTGCATGAACATAAACAACCCAGGTTACCAATTTTCAAATTCGGTTGTTTATTAATCAAGCCTAAAAGGATTGTTGTTCAAACTTGTTCCTTAAACTTATAAACAAATATAAATGAGCTCTAGTTGAGCTTGTTCATGAGCTATTCAAATGTACCTTTTCATTTATACCCTGAACAGGAATCCTCAAAAGTTCAAGCTTTCTCTTTTACATCTTTGCATATTTCTTTGCCATATCGTGCTTTTCTAGGTTTTTCACATTTCTACAATGATGGAAATCTTTATAACAAGTTTTTTTTTTTTTAAATAACTTGGGGCTTTTTCCTATACTTCCTTTTTTTCACCACAAAAATTTCTTGCATTGTTTAATGGATCACCAACTTTAGATTATATGTGAACATTCTTAGCCACTTTTCGAATGTGACTAGAGATATCATCCCATGTAACTTTTGCTTGCCCATCCATTTTCCAAGTATGTTGTTCAAGCAACTTAATCTTAAAAATCAAACGTTTTCGACCTCTCAAATCCTATCACTTAATTCTTGGGTACTTTAAGAAATTACTTCTCCTTTTCCATCATTTCACATGCATGTTGAGTAAACTTTAGTTCATGTTGGTTAGTCACATTTTCTCATGGAATGACTTTACAATCATTACAAGCTATTCTCTCTCTTTTCTTTATCCTTACAAAGAAGAAATCTATTTCTTTATGTTCTTGATACCCCATTCATAAGTTAATGACATGCTCTTCTTGCCTTTTGAAACAAGTGTTTGGATATCATGAGGTCACAAACTGTAACAAAGTCTAAGAAAGGGTACCATGACCTGCATGAATAGCCATTTGCTCTCTAGCATCCTTGTCCCTATTTAGATGTATTCCTAGGAATATCTTCTTCTACTAAAGGTTCTTTTGGATTCAACCATACGAATCTTCCAAAATATACATTGAGCTGCTCATCCAAGAACATTTTAGTTGCATATATGCTAATTATATTGAAGGTCCTATCTCAAGACTTGCTTTATATTTACAATCTTGTCATCATTCTCTGACATTGATAACATTATCCTTCAAGGTCTTATTCAGGATGATACCTATACAAAGTTTTGTGCTATCCTTACTTGAATACCAAAAGTCGAACCCCAAACCTTTAAGTTCTTTTGGCCTTTCTCCTTTCCACTTAGTCTCTTCAATGGACACAACATAAATCCTTATTCAAATAATGTCACAAGAACCTCCATTGGCTTGTCTATTAATGCCCCAAAATTACAAGTCCCAAATCGTAGCTTATCGTCTTGGACTAACTTCATTACGTGCCCTTGTCCATCAAAATGTGAGAATCCTTGCACATTTTTTCACTACACCTTAACGCTATTACAGCCTCACTCTATTTGAGAAATAATGTATCACTAAAGGGAAATGTCCTAGCATTAGCAAAGTTTTCAATAGTTCATTGTTATAAAGATACGAAAAAATTTATGCTAGCCATCAACTAACCCTCCTTGTTTATGCAGTCTTGAGGTTTATGACAACTAATTCTAGCTCTAAATAGCTGTAATTCTAGCCAAACACATTGGCATTAGTAAAATTAATTTAAAAGCCTAAAATTTATCACATGCATCAATTATCCCTAGGTTAGTAATGAGTGGTCTTTGAATTTGAACCAAGTATATCGCGATAAATGGGACTATTAAACAATGCTTGCCATCCTTTCTTTATTGTGTGTTTGCTCACTTTATATCTAGTACAATTAACTAGCACTTTTCTTTATTTCTTTTCCTTGCACACTTAGGAAATATCAATTGGAAAATTACCTGCATAAGCATGTTCAAATGCTACATAATTTTCATTGACAATTTTTCTAAGTTGCACGCTTATAATTGCATGATCTCAGTATTTCAAGTTTTACTTGAGAAGATCATCACAAATATAATCAACTTTAACTTGTTTAGTAAAACTAGGACGATCATATACTTAGCCTTCAATACTTGAGCAATGATCCTTAAGATGAGCATCAAACATTTCTTTTCAAAATCTTGAAAAACTTTAGTGCATTAATTGTCCCCTTTTATCCCATCGTTGGTATCATCTGAGTTTAACAATCTTATAGCAAAATTAGTGGAAACCTTTTTTGGGTGCCAAGTTTAGCAATAGCTAATACTTTAAAGTTAAAACTTGGAAAAAAAAAAAGAAAAAAGAAAAAAAAAGGCTAACTTTGTAATCACAAGAACTGAGTATTTCGTACAATATCTTGACTTCCTCATTTCATAGGATAATAGTTATAAAACCCTTACCCCTTATAACCTACTTATCTCACTTAAATACATCAATTCTTAACCATTGCACTTAAGCTTAAATATATTTAATTAAAAATGTAAAAATAGATCATTTTTTTAATATTGTGCCTGAATCAATAAGGTTGTGGGTTCTGATGCTTAATTTGTTATCACTTTTTTTTATTGTTTTTTCTGCTAATATGTATCTTGATGAAATATTAACTTCTGCATTCATATAATCTTCATCTTTATAAATTACATGTCTCTAAATTATGCATCAGTATTAGATTCCTCACTAAGTTCTTAGTCTTGGCCTCTTGTCCTCCAGCTGTCAGTATGGTGAGAGGTGCAAATTTCTTCATGTGATTCAGCAGCAGCCAAAGTCTAATTCCTTTGGATTTGGCACTCAAGCTATCTCACACCAACAACAAAAGCCAAATCCTTTTGGGTTTGGTGTTCAGAATAATGCTCAGCCAAAAGCGGCCAACGATTTTGGAAATAAACAGAACCATGTCAAGGTTATTTCCACTCTTAAAATTTATAGATATCAAATGGACCCATGATTTGGTTTCATTGATATATGATGTCATTTCCAGCTTCTCTTTGTTGAATCAAGCTCTGGAAGGTTTTGTATAACCTTTGCTTCTGTTAAAAGGCATCCTAATTTTATATTGTTTGTTCTTGTACTGTAATTTACTCTTTTCTTCAGAATACATGGACACGATCTTCTGCCAGCAGTGGTGCCCCTTCATTGCGGCAGCCTGATAATCAGCCTCAGGCAACAAATCATAAGTGAGTAGCGATTACTGGTTGTCATTTCTCTTGGCTGCTGTCTTGCTTCAGAAATCAGAATAATTATTGTCTCTTCTCCATTACTTAGTATAATACCTAACCTGAAAAAATTTGAAATTCATGTATGCAAAAGGTGCACAGATCCTGAGTCCTGCAAACGCATCATTCTTGAAGATTTTGAGCATGAGAAACCCCTTTGGAAGTTTACATGCTACAGCCATTGGAAAAAGTATGTTTTACAACTTATATGGTTTACAGGTCTTTCTAAAGATTCAAAACTTTTACGATATTTGTTGCTCTGAATTTTTAGAAAATTTAAGGGAAAAATATCAAAACTAGCACTGGATAGAAATAAATAATGAATTTTAGTTCAGGTGTTTTAGGCTGCTTAGACATAATAACTTTCTAAGAAACTTCAATTTTCTTAAATGAAGCGTATGCTAATCCTTTTGTTCCAATTTAAAAACATTAGATCATGATTGGTTTTGGAAATCTGCTGCTGTTAAAACCATTCTGAACTAATTGGCTAGTAGCCTTTGACACATTTGTCTAACCGTGGCCCATCAGGTGGTATTAATGTGGTCTAATATTTGAGTTCTTTTATTTTTAGTTCCCCTTGTGACATCGTTGGTGATGTAAGCCAAGAAGAATTGCGGGCAGCAGCATATGATGATGCAAAGCATGGGTTAAGCTTGCAATCAATTGTGAGGGGATCTTCAATACCTTACTTTCCAGATTTATGGTTGCATGTTAATCACATCTACAGTCACCTTAGTATATTTGCATTTGTTTTTGGCAATTTCATTCTTAATTGTTACTTTGGAATTACTTTGACATAGACATATGCTTTTGGCTATTTCGGACGTTTCAGTGTAGCATGGGCAAGAAATGAAGAAGCTGCAATAAAAGGGCTGATGGATCCAGAGAACAGTTGAACAAAAGCCAAAAGCTGTTGTAGATATGGTTTCCATGAAGATAGTTGGAATACCGTGTGATATGGGGCTTAAACGTTAGGAACTAGGAATCACTTGTTAAATCTAAAATTTGTTTCTACAGAATGTACTTTTATCCTAGATAAGCACATGCAACCACACATATAATCACTTACATACAGGCAGATAGATAAGAGAATTTCATAGTAGAATTCCTTTGCCACCCCTAAGAGAATTTCCTATGGCTACTCTGCAAAACTGAAAAACATACATATAACACCACTTTACTCTAGAGTATATGAACAGCTCTCAATGTCTTATCTTTGGATTTACTTTGTTCTTATTTTCATCTCAAACATTTGTCTGTAAATAGTTATGAATGTGTTTCTGCGCCTCAAATAACTCCTTGTATCTGTCTTTCATTAATTTTAAACATTGTTATGAAGGTGATGTTGATATCATACTATGTAATGGTAAGTAGTGACTGCAACTTACTAATTGCACAAAATTCCTTCACAGGTTGACAGAGAGAGGAATTTACTCAATTCAAAGTTAATTGAGATTGAAAACTTTCTTCGTAATCCCTATAAAGGGCCGGTTGGCTCTACTCTGGCCCAACAAATCCCATTTCCCAGGGCCATGGCAACTGTATTTTCTCCAACAGCTCAAAATAGTGCCACTCAAACTAATTTCCCTCCTTCAGTCTCCAGTTTTAGTCAGCTGGGTGCTTCACTTTATACAGGATTCCCAGTGAGGTAAGAATGACTACTATAATTTAAAACTTTTGTTTGGTCTTATATCATTTCTTTATTTGTATCTATGAAAGTCCCTGATTCCAAGTTCAGCCCTAATGTTTTTATTAACCTTGCAAAGAATATTTTCTCAGGTCATCTGTACAGTCAAATAATGCCTTTGGGCAACCAATTTCTTTCTCAAATTCTGCCCAATCCTCAAGTGTATTTGTAACAGGCAATGTTCCATCGGCCAATGCCTGTAAGTTTCAAGATTTTGCCATTTGAACTATTCATGTACATGTATTATGTAAGCTTCTAATTTCAGTCATGACGTGACAGTTTCATTTGGTAGCCAACAATCTAACCAGTCAGTAGCAGCTTCTTCCACAACAAACACAGCTAGCTTCACCAACAGTAGCATCACTAGTACTGCACATAAGCAATTTTCTGCTGTGGCAGTATCAACACAAAACTTCAGTTCATCCAGCTTCCAGCCACCTGCTCTGTTTGATGTCTCAATCTCAAATTCTAAAGCAGATGGACAAGCCACTAAAGATGTTCAGTTAGGGTATGCTAATCAAGAAGCTATTATTCATTCCTACGCCATTGGGAAAAATAATCTTTTCTATTCAAGAGATTGTTTAGTAGCTAGGCTTTTCGTATTGCTTGAATGTATTTATTGGTATCAATCAGAATAATTCATATGCTTATTTTTATTTCCGAATTTGACAGAAATAACTTGCTAAGGAAGATTGTTTCTGGGGATTCAAGTATTTGGTTAAAAGAGAAATGGATTCCAGGAGAGGTAAAGGACTTCAGTTATGCTATATTTTTTAGATGGTAGTTAAAAGTAGTAGATTCTAAGCATTATCTTTGGGGTTCAATGTTTTTGGATATCCTCTCCTAATTCTTTTTTTTTTTTAAATTATTTCACTCAAATGAAGGCATCTTGTTGCTTTTTTTGTTAAAAGTTAGCGCATAACTAATTGATGCTTTTTAATTTATACTGCTTACTGCAGTCTGCGGGAAAAAGACAACAAATTCCATAACTACATTCACCTTCTAAAAGCTTTGGGCTAAGAAAGCAAATTAAATCTTGATTATAAGTAGGAAAATTAAATGATTGTATAGGTTTCCTGAATACTCATTATTACAGTTATTTATGTCATTTTTATTTTTTTTTTGTGAAATCCTTGCATAATATTTGAGAAGGTCTTTTGTAGTACAATCTTTTGAGAAGGTTTTTTATAGTTTAGTCTTTTCTGACATTCTTACCTGAATTACTTTTTCCTGTTATATAGATTCCTGAAGAAGCTCCTCCCGATGCTTATGTTTAGTTGGAATTCATGTGAGAACAATGTAAACTTTATAAAAATGTGTAGAAAGCATGCTGATTGTGGGCTGTAGGCGTCACCTGCAAGCGCCATCAGATGTTGATCCTGCATGCTGAAGATGGTTGCCGCTTACTATTGGCAAATTTTCATTGTGCTGAGTTGCAACAGAACTGCTTGTCCCCTTTGACAACCATATTTTGGTTCGTCAATTTCCTCACTGGAGGGTTCATTTGCTGGTGTAGTGTGCGTTGGAAGAGGGAGATACTAGGCCATTTTAGGCTGACTGAATTGGTAAGTGGGTGGGAGTAAGAAAAGTTACAAAAATGATTTCTTTGGCATGATGTTGTGAAAACTTTTTTCATTTCTTGGCTCTGCTTTTAACAACTTGTGGAAAAGAAAATTGTTATGGATATATCTGCCATGTATACCAAGGCTTGAACTGGCAAGGATAGGTATGATGGAAAACATCTTCCAGTTGTATAGAGATGCTAGTATTTGTTATCTGAACTGTGTGAATTAGCCAAGATTTGGTTTGATATTCGCCTATAGAATTTATTCTAGTGTAAAATGAAAATAAACTATATCATTATAGGTTGAATAATCCGAATGATTATATTAATTAAGGATCTGTTTGGCACAGCGTTGAGATTTTTTGTGGTTCTAAAATAATAGTGGGGACGAGATTGTTAATTGTAAATTTCAGACTAGAAGCTTTAATGTACGTTGTAACAGTAAAGAGTAAAAAAGGATAATGTCTGTTTTGTAAAAGTAAGCATGAATTCAATTCAAGAGTGAAAAGAAAAAATGTTATTAAAGATAATATTAGTTTAAAACTGATGTATATTGTATTTTATAGTATGTTTATGAATAAGGGTAATTGTAATTTAAAACTAGAAAAATGGAATTATAATTGGTAAATTTTAAATTTTAAATTTTGCACTTATTTAATATTACTTTTTAAGTAATTATATGAATTAATTGATTAAAGTTTTGAATTTAATTTTATAATATATTTGATATTTACAGAACTAATCAATGAAAATTAATAATTTTTGGCTTCATACTAATAATAATAATAATATTTATTCATTTTTTATGAATAAAAGAAATCAAAATAGAAGAAAGAAGTGTAAGTATTGAAATCTAAATTTTAATTTATTAAATATTATTTCTTAAATAATTTTATGAATCAATTCATATAAATTTTGAATTTAATTTTATATTTGACATTTACAAAACTAAACAATGAAAATGAATAGTTTTTGACTTTATATTAAAATTTAATTATTGTTGAAAATGATTTAATAATAATTTTTATATTTTTTAAATATAGATTCAATTTGGTTCAACATGCTAGCTATATTAGTTTAGAAAAAAAATTATATATATATATAGGAGAGAGAGGGAGATAAAGTCATAAGGAAGGGCAAGTAACAAAATACGATTTCATTTAAAAAGACAAGAAAAAAAATATTTGAATTTGAAAACGTCTCAAAGATCGTGCCAGATAGCCAAGTAATTGACACCAGAGTTAATATATCTTACAATTTAGATTAAGATTAAGGGAATTTTATCTAAAAATAAGATGGGCTTATCTTTGGTCCAAATCTATTAAACAAATATATAAATAAAGTAGGTTATAATAAAAAGATTGTGTTCACACTAGTTGAAAAAAGAGAGTATGAAAATGGATGAGAATTATGGTTAAATTCATGGATAAACCTAGATAGCAAATATTCAGCATATTATCATGTAATTTGATGTTGGAAACTGATGGTTGAGATGTTGGAGATTAGTAACAAATAGAAAAACTCACAAAGAAGACAACTCACAAGAATTTGAATAATAGTTGAATATGATTATTGAATTAAAAGGGGTAGAAGTTCATCACCAAGACTAGATACTAAGGGAAACAAAAAACACCACCCTAAAAATTCTGATCTAAAATACAGAACAATAGAAGTTTATCACTATAAAAAATTTACCTAAAAGGTACAGAATTTGAAGAACAGTATAAAAGATTGCTTAGGGATAAAGAAAACCCTATTCTCCTTCTACCAAAAAATAACAAAAAATAAATAAGCTAGGAACATCCCTCTAAGCATGGGAACTTCACAGATTGAATTCCTAGAATCATGCCTAAAATGATGAGATTTGTATATGAACACAATAATCTGTAATGTGAATGCAATTATTTGCCCATTTACTTTTGTAAATTACATGATAATAAATTTGACTACAATCCCATCCATCTTTATACTCTTCTTTTCCAGTTACTGTGAATACAATCTCTCTATTCCAACCCACCTTATTTTTGTATTTATTTAATGGATTTAGATCAAGGATAGGCCCATTTTATTTTTTGGATAAGTTTTCCTTAATCTCAGCCCAAGTTGTAAGATATATTGACACTACAGAGTCAATCTCCTCTGGTTAGAAAAGACTCATCCTTAAGTCTGAATTAATATTCTCACCATAGTAGGGTGACAAATCAACAACATTGAAGCTGAAATATACTCCATAAGTGTCGGGAAGCTCTACCTTATAAGCATTCTCTCCAATTCATTGTGAAATTTGAAATGGGCCATCTGGCTTAGACTATAGCTTACCAACCTTCTCTTATAGAAACCTTTCTTTGTGCAACTAATCCCACACCAAATCATGTTCTTTAAACTTTATATGTTTTCGATGCATGATTATTGCCTTTTTATATTTCTTATTTTTTTGCAAAATTCTATTCTGAACCTGTTCATAAAATATTTTGATACTCTTGCTTTTTCTTCTATATCTCTATCAAAATGTTGGTTAGTATAAAGTTGAATTAAATCCAAAGAATAGATTGCATTCTTTCCAAGAACAATTTCATAAGGGCTACAACCAATGATTTGATTTTGTGAATGGTTGTCGGCAAACTCCACTTGTAGTAAAACAAGTTCACATTATTTTAGTTTCTTTCCTACGTAACTCCTTAAGAAAAATTTTCAAGCTATGATTGATAACTTCAGTTTACTCATCAATTTGGAAATGATGACAAAAGCTATAATTAAGACTAGTAATAAGCTTCCTTCAAAGGTGTGCCAAAAATGGCTTAAGAACTTGGAATTTCAATTGAACACCATGGACTTTTGGAATGTCATGTAACTTTACACTCTCTCTGTAATACCAATCAGAAACATGAGAAGTATCTATGGTTTTGTTACAAGGGACAGAATTTACCATATTGTAAAAAAGATCCACAACCACCATGACGGAATCCTTGTTCTGTTGAATACCTGACAACCCCACTATAAAGTCTAAGCTAATATTATCCCTTCCAAAATGTTCTCCCAATGCACCATCATGAACTTTGGTGAAAATGGCTTATCTTTGAAGACTGTTCAGGTAATTAGCTTTGAAGAGAAAGCCATCATGTAACAAAATTTGGTTATGTGACCCAAGCTTGTATTCTTTCCAAATTCTATCACAATAAAAAACCTCCTTACAAAGTTCTTTGAGCACATCAAAGTTAATAACTTGATTAGCCATAGTTCCTAATTTAGAGTGCTTTAGGGTTAAAGCTTTTACCACCTTTTTAAGAATTCTAAATTTTTGTTTAACAGTGAAGTAATAAGATTGAAGAAACTCCATCCAAGTTACATTTTTTCGATTGAGCTTGTATCGACTATTAATGATCTTCAGTTTCTTATGATCAAAATATAGAACAAATGACTTAGCAAGAGGACACTGACTCCAAATAAACAAAGCTCTATAAATATCATAGAACTTCTTATTGTAAATTAAGTACTTCCATTAGGAATCATTCAGCTTTTCACTAAAGAAGGCAATTGGTTTTCTTTCTTCATTAAGGCAAGCATCTATAGAAGCTACATCACACCACACTTTATCTTTATATTACTTTCTTATGGAAAAAGCAACTAAGCACCTTTTGCTAACCTTGATTTCATTATCTTTTTGCAACCAAGACAGCTTATATGGTTGGGGGTGATTTACTATTTTGAGGCATAATTTTTACACAATAAAAGTAGAAACAACGTTTTCAAAATTTTCACTATCAATTATAACATTACATACTTTCCTATTGTAGTACACTGAGTGTAGAACATGTTTTTTTGTAACCAATCTTTTTTCTTAGTAGGTGTGGCACTCAAGCTACATTGTATGACTAAGGATGCTCCACAATCGTCATAAGTTATCTCTTCTTCCTCTTCAAGGTTTTGATTCTCTTCAACCAACTTCTCTTTATTTTCTTTCAAGTTTTTCTTTACTAGAGTCACAATCTTCCTGTTTGGGCATTCTGAGGCAATGTGTCTAAGCCTTTGACACTTAAAATACCTTCTAGTTTGTGCACTAGATTGAAGCTTGCTTGTTGAGGTTCTATATTTCTTTTAAGACTACGTTGGAATAAGCTTAGAAGGAACAATAATTTTGGATGAACCACCTTTATTGATACAACTTTCTTGGGACCTAAATCTCAAGTTGCTACCACGGGCCTCCTTTTGTTGTCTTTTCACCTTAAGGGCAAGCTTGCATAAATCATTGAAAGTCCAATACGATTAAAGTTGTACCATATTAGCTATCTTGATCTTCAACCTTCCAAGATATTGTGCAATAGTCTATTCTTCTTGTCCCACTAATTAGTATTTCAACATGAAATGGTCAAACTCAATCGTATACTCTTCTATTAAGAGATTTCTTTGTTTCAAGTTATGGAGCCTAAGAAAGATATCTTGATAGAAGTTATCTAAAAGATGCTTCTTTTGACAAGACATCTTTTTTAGGCTCCATAACTTGAAGCAAAGAAATCTTATAGTGGAGGAATATATGGTTGAGTTTGACCACCTCATGTTGAAATACGAATTAGTGGAACAAGAAGAGCAAACTATTACATGGTATCTTGAAAGGTTGAATATCAATATAGCTAATGTGGTACAGCTACAATCCTATTAAACTTTCAATGATGTATGCAAGCTTGCCTTTAAAGTGGAGAGACAACAAAAAGAGGCTTGAAAGTTGGGTCCAAAGAAGGTTATATTAATAAAAATGGCTCATTTAAAACTATTGTTCCTACTAAGCCCATTCCAAAATAGCCCTAAAAGAAAGATAAAAACTCAACAAGCAAGCCTCAGTCTAGTACATAAATCAGAAAATGTTTTAAGTGTCAAAGGCTTGGACACATTACCTTAAAATGCTCAAACAGAAAGATTATAACTCTAGTAGAGGAAGACTTAAAGAAAAATAAAGAAAAGCTGGTTGAAAAGAATCAAAACCTTGAAAAGAAAGAAGAGGTAACCTATGGTGATTGTGGATCATCCTTAGTCATACAATGCAGCTTGACTATTGTACTTGATAAAGAAAAAGACTAGTTGCGTAAAAATGTGTTTCACACTTAATGTACTACCTATGGGAAGCTATGTGATATTATAATTAATAGTGAAAGTTTTGAAAACATTGTTTCAACTTTTATGGTGCAAAAATTAAGCTTTAAAACAATGGATCACCTTCAACTATATAAGCTATCTTGACTGAAAAAGAGAATGAAATTAAGGTCAGCAATAGGTGTTTGGTTTTTTTTTTCATAGAAAAACAATACAAAGATGAAGTGTGGTATGATATAGCTCCGATGGATGCTTGTCACTTATTGCTTGAAATACCTTGGCATTATGATAGAAAGGTTATTTATGATGGTTACCGTAATACTTGCACATTTGTAAAAGATGGATGCAAAATCATCCTAGGCCCTACCAAACCCATAGTGACATCAAAACCAAACAAATGGGACGGAAGTAGCTTGTTTACCAAGGTCAA